CATTCACTTCCACACTCCTCCTCTCCAATTTTTCTTTATCTAAATCATTTGATACCCTCATCGCCTTACTCTTTTCTATGTTCACTTTCAACTTTCTACCTTTACACATTCTCCCAAACTCGTCCACTAACCTTTGCAACTTTTCTTTAGAATCTTCCATAAGTACAGTATCATAAGCAAAAAGTAAGTGTCAATTCCCATTTTGTATTCGATTCCCCATAATTTAATCCCACCCCTCTCCCAACACCATAGCATTTATTCTGTTACAACCCCATCTATAAATATATTAAATAACCATGGTGACATTACACATCCCTGTCTAAGACCCACCTTTACTGGGAAGTAGTCTCCCTCTCTTCTACACACCCTAACCTGAGCCTCACTATCCTCAAAAAACTCTTTACAACATTTAGTAACTTACTACCTATTCCATATACTTGCAACATCTGCCACATTGCTCCCCTATCCACTCTATCATATGCCTTTTCTAAATCCATAAATGCAATGAAAACTTCCCTACCTTTATCTAAATACTGTTCACATATATGCTTCAATGTAAACACTTGATCTACACATCCCCTGCCCACTCTAAAACCTCCTTGCTCATCCGCAATCCTACATTCTGTCTTGCCTCTAATTCTCTCAATAACAACCCTACCATACACTTTTCTCAGTATACTCAGTAAACTTATTCCTCTATAATTTTTACACTCTCTTTTGTCCCCTTTCCCTTAATATAAAGGAATTATACATCCTCTTTGCCAATCCCTAGGTACCTTCCTCTCTTTGATACATTTAATAAACAAAAATACCAACCACTCCAAAACTATATCCCTCCCCTTGCTTTTAACATTTCTGTCATGATCCCATCAGTTCCAGCTGCTTTACCCCCTTTCATTCTACATAATGCCTCACGCACCTCCCTCACACTCACATCCTGTTCTTGTTCACTCCTAAAACATGTTATACTTCCCTCGCCAATGCATGAAATTACCGCCTCCCTTTCTTCGTCGACACTTAAAAGTTCCTCAAAATATTCCACCATCTCCCCATCTACTAACTCCCCTACTCTGTTTTTAACTGACAAATCCATTCGTTCCCTAGGCTTTCTTAATTTGTTTATCTCATACCAAAATTTTGTCTTATTTTCATAAAAAATTCTTGACAGTGCCTCTCCCACTCTATCATCTGCTCTCCTTTTACAATCTCTCACCACTCTCTTCACCTTTCTTTTACTCTCCATGTACTCTGCTCTTCTTATAACACTTTTGCTTTGTAAAAACCTCTTATAAGCTGCCTTTTTCTCTTTTATCACACCCTTTACTTCATCATTCTACCAATCACTCCTCTTTCCGCCTGCACCCACCCTCCTATTGCCACAAACTTCTGCCCCACATTCTAATACTGCAGTTTTAAAACTATTCCAACCCTCTTCAACCCCTCCCCCCCCCTCACTACTCATACTTGCACTAGCCCACCTTTCTGCCAATAGTTGCTTAGATCTCACCCAAACTTCTTCCTCCCTTAGTTTATACACTTTCACCTCTCTCTTACTTCTTGTTGCCATTTTCCTTTTGTCCCATCTACCTCTTACTCTAACTGTAGCTACAACTAAATAATGATCCGATATATCGGTTGCCCCTCTATAAACATGTACATCCTAAAACCTACCCATCAACCTTTTATCCACCAAATATAATCAAACAAACTACAGTGGACCCCCGGTTAACGATTTTTTTTTCACTCCATAAGTATGTTCAGGTGCCAGTCTGACCGAATTTATTCCCATAAGGATATTGTGAAGTAGATTATTCCTTTCAGACCCCCAAACATACACGTACAAACGCACTTACATAAATACACTTACATAATTGGCCCGCATTTGGAGTTAATCGTTATGCGGGGGCCCACTGTACTTTCATTACGTGCTATATCATACCTGTATTTTAAATTTTTCCTCTTTTTCATAAACTATGTATTACTTATTACCAAACCTCTTTCTACACATAGCTCAATTAAAGCTCCCCATTTTCATTTCCCCCTGGCACCCCAAATTTACCTACTACTCCCACCACAGCATTTTTACCCACATTAGCATTGAAATCCCCAACCACAAGTACTCTGACTCTTGGTTCAAAGGTCCCCACACATCACTCAACAATTCCCAAAACCTCTCTCTTTCCTCTACACTTCTCTTTTCTGTAGATGCATTACGCTTACTACAACCAACTTTTCACATCCAACCTTTATTTCACTCCAAAATAATCCTTGAATTAATACATTATTATTATTATAATTATTATTACCACTGACATACCTTGTTCACTGTTTTTAAATCATTGTTTAGATGATATGAGAGACACAGTGATGTAAACACACAGCCAAACACACCAGCTAACCCTTTACTGTGAACTTCTTTTGTACTTCTTCCATTTTCCTCTTCCAAGTGCTGCTGCACTTCTTACTCTATCTTGTACTATAGGGTGCACAATAAAGTACAAATTTGTACAAATATGTAGTCTTGGAGACTGTAAAAGCTAGCATACTGAATGGCCGTAGGAAAAAGATTGGATGCTTCGTGTTGAGATGCCGAGCTGTCCGTTTCCATGACCCAAAGGGTTCTCATATGGCATACGATCATGACTAATTGGAAAAGCCCTCGTAACTCTGAGTTGTCAGTGAACGAGTACGTTGGCAAGTAAGGAGAGGCTGTATTATGTAACCTATTATGTAACTTGAACTTGCAGAACAAAACCTGTGCTAAACACACTCTTGTTCGGGTCTTCCTTCCTCATCACACATATTTTATAGTGCTCTAAGGATTTTTTCCCTTATTAGGATTAAATTTTTGGTTTGATCCATTGAATCAATAAGTTTTCTGTTTTATTGTGATTTATGTGTCTTTCTTTTCAGGAGATGACAACCTGGGTTATTCAATGCACAATGCCTCATTCCTTTTTTATTGAATGAACTGATGCTTAATTAATAAGGCCATAAGCTCTTGCAGTCTGCACCACATGTGCACCACTTTTAACTTTTAAGCTTATCTAATATCTCAATTTTCTTCATAACACCAAGACTTGTATGCTTAAACTTTTTCTTGCCACTTCCAGCATCACTCACATTCCTTTTGTATCTATGCAGTGCTGAGGTCTTCTCGTGGTGTGAGTGCACACATCTCTGAGCCTTTATCTTCTTTTTTAGTAAGAGGAATTATTAAGTAAAGTGCAATTAATAATGGCTTCTAAAGAAAATGGTGGTGCCAAGAGGAAATGAGTGGTTCTCAGTTTTAAGCAGAAACTTAAACTAATAAAGGTTTAGCCTGGCATCTCAGTGGCACAGGTATGTGAGAAATGTAATGTTAAGGGCATAGTGTCTGATATTTACTTCTCAACCATCTACATTTTCACTAGTAGAGTTTTACAGCTACCTGACTAAGAATAAAGTTATTCGGCAGTTTACGCCACTCTCTCCACCACTAAGAGTTAAATAAATTTACTATGAATTGCATATTATAAAATTGCTATACAGTACTGCACTACAGGTACTACTACAGTACCACTACAGGTTACAATACTCATATTCTAATTATGTCCATTTAAACTGAATCAGCGAATAAGTCCGCTGATTCAAACTTGCTTGTTACAAACATAAAAATATTTATTACGTCTTAAATCAGACAATCAGCAATAAAATACATCACATCCTCTATTAGTTGACTAATTGGAGGGGGCACTTTTTTTAAAAAAAACAAACTTTTTTTTTTTGTGCAGTTTACAAAATGCATTTTACACATAATAAAATATTGTTTAAACAAAAACGAAAGCCACTGGCATGCTGTGCATCTCGGGCAGACTAATCCTAATGCTTACACACTACTTAAGACTAGACATGGGTTTACTGAACGCTACAATTTTAAGTATGCATTATTAAAAAAAAAAAAAAGAGAATTAGAAAAAACAGTACAATTTTATGTATGCATTATTACATAAAAAAAAAGAGAGGTAGCAAAAATAGTACAATTTTAAGCATGTATTAATACTTTAAACTGATTCAGAGATCTAAAGTTAATTGGGATTTCTTAAACTGGCTCTATGATTTCAGGCTATGGAATAATTATGAGAGAAGCTTCAAAATATGGTGATACTTTATGATGAATTACTTGTTTAATATATGTAACTGATAATTACTGCTAGCATGTTTTACAGGTAATGTTAATATTTACTGATCCTAGTGTATAAATGTGAATAAGTGTGAGGCTTAGCTACCGAAGAAGGATATATACAGTGGAACCTCAAAAATTGAACTGCTCCCAACACAACCAATTATGCAAGTGTATTTTTGTAAGTGCTTTTATAAGTGTATTTTTGAGGGTCTGAAATGGACTCATCTAATTTACATTATTCCTGATGGGAATAAATTCATTCGGTAAAGGCACTCGAACAGCCTTCTGGACCGAAAAAAGTTTGATATTTGAGGTTCCACTGTACTTTGCTATATGAGGACAGAACTATTCTTATAATATACTAATTCTGGTAGGATTGAGCTACATGTTTAATGTCATTACACTTGCTCTTCCTGGTAAACTGAGGATGTAATTTTATACAGCCTTTCAACCTGTATACTAATCTTTGCTCAAACAGTTCCAAAGGTGAGATAGTGATTATAATTCTAGTAGCCATCAAGCTACATACATACACAGTATAACACTGTTAAAGCTGGCAGACAGCTGTATGTGCTTTTAGTGAGAAGGTGCATATGGGACAATTCACACCATATGTATGATTATGAAGATGCTGCACTGAACTGCTACACCATAATAACATAATAACTTGAACATTGCACATGTTAATTAACTATGCAAGTCTATGCATGCAGTAGTGCAAGAGGTGTGAGTAGTAAAATTCACACGCATGTGTGTGTGTGTGTGTGTGTGTAGATGTCACACTGATGTACGGCATCAATCCATCATATGAAGAGATGGATGTGGTAAAACTTACATGTGAGAATGTGTAATCGTCGCAGTGAAGCACCAAGACAGGGCGAACTCCGCCCAAGGAGATAGCATCAGACTGGCCTGGCTCAACTGAATAAAATTATAAATCACGAGTGACCTAGGTTCTTATTCACTCTTCTTTCTGGATGTGTAAACTTATTCAAACATATTTCATTTCCACCTAGCCTTGACTGACACCTAAGTTTATACACATGACTCCATATAACAGGTAATTATGTCCTGATATTAAAATTATCCACAGCAATAACTATGATATTATAAGTTAGGTAAAAGGCAATAATTATCACATCTGGTAGTGGATGACTACATTACAATAGTAAACCCTCTACATAACAGACTTTGAAAATAGGAAGCAACATCTGTTGGGTAAATTAATTTGGGGACACTGCACAAAGTTTATTGGTTACAGAATTGCCCATTATTGTTACTAAAACAACAAAACAATATTTTCTCTATCCACCACAACCATTACTGACCACTTGCTCCCCCAGTTGTTCTGTTATATGGAGAACTTTCTTTAATATTACCTACTGAAATATGTATTCAAAGATCCATAATTATTAATCTTTTCACTGTCGGTCCTGTAATATTACAGCTTGCAAGTCAATGTCGGTCCCGTAATACTATGCCAATCTTGCAGGAGATGGCTGGTAGGCCTACATATAAGAGAATGGGTCTGAGTGGTCATTGTGTGCAGTATAAAAAAAAAAATCCTGCAGCACGCAGTGCATAATGAGAAAAAAACTGACCGTGTTTTTGATTTAAAACAGAGACTTTGCGGTGTATTTTTGTATGGTATTTATGGTTGTATTCTTGTTTTCTTGGTCTCATTTGATAGACTGGAAGATATATTACAGAAATAGAGATGATTTTGAATAGCTAACAGATTAAAAGTACCTTGAAATAGAGCTCAAAGTAGCAGAAATGTTTGATTTTTGTAGATGTTCAAGAGTAAACAAATCATGTCAACGGGTGGGTCTAATATGCTTTCACAAATGCTGATATAATTTATACCATTCTTACAATAATGCAGTAGTCTGCATAATAGTAAATCTTCTATTTTTTGTGTGAATAAAAATTCAAAATGGAAAGAAAATGTAATATAAGAGGAGCCTGGTGAAGTGACTAAAGAACAGAGAAAATGTTATTTTTGTGATAGGAATGTTTGAATTGTTAATTTTGGATCCTATTTTGAAATTGACCTTCCTTGAATTTCATATGAAACTGCCAAAATTACCAATTTCTGGTCACTTATTTTAGGTAGTTGAAATAGGTAAATGGGCAGTTTCTTGTACTCATTTGACAGAACGAAAGGAATTCTAGCAAAATACCTATGAGTTTGGTTGACTGGAAGACTGGAATTGATGGAAAATAGGGCTCAAAGTGGGCAAAATCGCCAATGCGTAAATATCACCGAGACCGCTAACTTCGCAAGAGCATAATTCCGTAAGTTTTCCATCAAATTTTGTACTTTTGGTTTCATTACTATTGGGAAAAGATTCTCTATCATTTCATAAGAATTTTTTTTAACCCTTAAACTGTCCAAATGTAGATCTACGTTCACTTAAATAACGCTCTGAATATTTTGGGAAAAGATTTTTTTTTTTAAATGAAGAGCGCATTTTTCTTGGCGTCCCCAAATTTTGTCATACTGTGCACAGTATACTTCACAGACCCATTCTCTCATGTCTAGGCAACTGAGGCCTACTGTGCCAAGGTTGAAAGCACATAAAATAAATTGTAAATCAATGTTCGGAGCACTATGCACTATGCATGTGCTCTGCATACAAGGGGCTTTTGGCATGTACACCCAATCACTATATTTCTTTGTACAACTATGTATTATGTCCAAATAAAAATAAATAAATAAATAAATAAAGTAGATCTATGTTTGGACAGTTTAAGGGTTAAATTCTTTGACGCTGAGAGCAAGTTTGCGAGCAGGGGGTCTTGACAGTGAAAGGGTTAAAAACTATCTGTATAGTATTTTGAACACTTCGTAAAAATTAACTATCACGAATCCATTTGTGGGTGGAGAAAAAATGTGAAGCATTGCCTGTGGGATATTTCCCCAGCTCAGGATGCCACCTGGCTGTATGTCAGACCATTGTCTTCGGGCGGGGGAGACCTACCGCCATCCCCTGCCACCCACAACACTCCCATCCCAGTCTTCCATGCATACACATCTAGTATCATTCTCTCCTAGGAGCTAGCTGTGTTTGTGAATTATGTTTTGATCTTTTAATTGCCATATCTTGTATCTGCCAAGCAATCATGGCACCCAGTATGCATAAGAGTGTTGCTAAAAATGGGAAGAACAGATTTAGGTGTTTAAGTCTTGGAATTACGAAGAAAATCATGATCCAGCAACCCTTTAAGTGTCGAGACCTCTGCTCGCAAACATGCTCATAGTGTTGAAGAATTTAAAAAAAAAAAATCTTATGAAATGACAGAGAATCTTTTTTCAAAGGTAATGAAACCAAAAGTTCGAAATTTGATGGAAAGCTTACGGAATTATGCACTCGCAAAATCAGCTGTCTCAGCGATATTTACGCATGGCAATTTCGTCAACTTTGAGCCCTTTTTTCGGCCAATTCCTCGGTTCCACTCAGCCAAACCTTCACTGACATCAAGGAACCTTCACTGAGGTAAGAGTCCTTCACTAACATTAGGGAACCTTCATTGCGAGGTAAGAGTCCATCACTAACATCAAGGAACCATCATTTTATTTATTTATTTATTTTGTCTGCAAATAGTACATTGAGATTTTGTATTTACAATAGTGGGTTGCAGTGCAAAGAGAGCCTCTATTATGCCTAGGCATTATGGGCCAACTTAACATTATTGGCTTACAGTCTACTTAATACTAAGGAGTATATCATAGTTGTACAGTAGAATATTAATTATAAATGAATAAAAATTTGTATAATACAAAGATATATTTGTATTCTAAAATGCTTTTGTGAAAACAATGATTCAATTATATTCCTTTCAACAATGGATAAAAGATTCAATGTGATTGTTTCAGTTATGATGTGGGAGTACATAGGTGAGTAAGTGTGTACCGAGTATATAGCATTTAGTCTAGGGTGATTAAGTGGCTTTTGAGAAGAGTCTTAAACTGATTTTCAGACTGGGTTGCTTTAATATCTTCTGGTAATGAATTCCATATTTTGGGGCCTTTTATGTGCATAGAGTTTTTACACAGTGTGATATGGACACAAAGTATATCAAAATGAGATCTGTGTCTTGTGTTGTGGTCATGTGCCCTGTTTAGGTTGGTGAGGAGAAGTTTGAGTGGGGGGGGGTTATATTTGCATGTATTGTTTTGTGTATGTAGTAGGCACATGAATAAGTATGGGTGTTCTTAATGGTAAGCAGATTCAGACTTTTGAAAATTGGTGGAGTATGCTGGCAGGAGTGGGAATTTGTTATCATTCTTACTGCTGCCTTTTGCTGGGTTAATAGGGGTTTTAGGTGATTGGATGTTGTTGATCCCCATGCGCAAATTCCATATGTAAGATAAGGGTATATGAGTGAATGGTACAGTGCCAGGAGAGCTGATTGTGGAACATAGTACCTTATCTTTGCTAGTATGCCTACAGTCTTGGAGATTTTCTTGGTGATTTGTTGTATGTGTCCGGAACTTAAGGCTACTGTCAAGGTGGATACCTAGGAATTTTTCCTCTGTGAGTCTTGTGACTGATGATCAATTTAGCATTATGTTAATTGGATCATTTACAGCTTTGTTTCCAAACTGAATGAAATAGGTTTTATCAGTGTTCAGGGTAAGTTTGTTAGTCATCATCCAGGCAGATATTTTCTGTAATTCAGCATTGACTGTGTTTGCTAGTATGACTGTGTTTGGGTGGGAAAAGACATATGTAGTGTCATCTGCAAATAATATGGGTTTGAGTAGCTGTGATGCATTCGGTAGATCATTGATGTAGATGAGAAAGAGGAGTGGTCCAAGGACGCTTCCTTGTGGGACTCCTACTGTGACTGGTTAGGTGGAAGAGTTTGCATCATTTGCATACACATATTGAGTTCTGTTACTAAGGTATGACTTTAGGTAGTTAAGGGAGTGGCCTCTGATACCAAAGTGCATTAATTTGGAGTACAGCAGTTCATGGTCGACTGTATCAAAAGCTTTACGTAAATCAATGAAAATGCCCAGCGGGACTTCTTTCTTTTCAAGTGCGGTATATATTAGTTCTAGCATGTGTATGATAGCATCATTTGTGCTTTTATTATTCCTGAACCCAAACTGACAAGGGTTTAATACGTTGTGTGAAATGAGGTAGGAATAGATCCGTCTATGAATTAATTTTTCAAAGATTTTAGAGAGCAGTGGTAAGTCAGATATTGGTCTATAGTTACTCAAGTCAGCTTGGTCACCTCCTTTATGGATCGGAGTGACCCTCGCTATTTTGAGGATTGCTGGGAAGGTAGATGATTCAATGGATTTGTTAAAGAGTGTTGCAATAATTGGTGACAATACTTGAGAAGCTTTTTTGTACATAAAAACAGGCAAGTTGTTTATGTCTCCTGCCTTGTTTTTAACCCATAAACGGTCTAAACGTATATATACGTTTTTTCAACATTTGAAAGTATGTAAAAAAAGTAGATCTTTTTGATTTTTTACATTTGAAAATGTGTAAAAAAACTTTGATCTACTTTTTTTTTTGTTATATTTGAAAATATGTAAAAAAATGTAGATCTACTTTTGGAGCACTACGCATATGAACGTAGATCTGCTTGGACCGTTTACGGGTTAAGGGTGTTTATGATGAGAGTAACTTCAATGGGGTTGGTTGGAGCTAGGAATAGCGTATTTGGGAAGGTATATATGAGGTAGTCTGATGGACAGGTGTTTGTGCTTGGTATTTTGTTTGCTAGATTTTTTCCAATGGTGGAGAAGAAAACATTAAGTGTGTTTGCTGTTTCGGTTGGAGTGAGTAGGGGTTCATCTGATTTTGTTAGTTTAATTGCTCTTGGGAGATTCTGAAGAGAAGTTGCAGAGGTTGGTGAATGAATTTGGTAGAGTATGCAAAAGAAGAAAATTAAAA